CACTGTTGGTGAAATTGCTCCCGCCTTTCCCTGTATCTCTGGTGTCATATGTATGTAACAATGAAGACAAAGTATTGTAAACTTTGTCACAATCAAAATTCCATGCTCAAACCATAGACATTCATCCAGTTTTGCAAAAGATGTAAATAGATTACCATATTTATATACATATATAAATGTCTAGCTACTCTTGTTTTAGCCAATCCATGTCACAGACACCTTCATAGGCAGATTTGTGTTTGTCTATACCTTCACAGAGTCCATCTATGGTTTATACTGCAACTATGTTGAGTGGACTTTAGTTACAGTTTCTGTAAGAGAATACATAACCTGTCATGATCAGCAATCTGAACAACACCAATATGCTCAAACCCTAGGTTACAAGACATGAATTTGGGCTAGCACAACCATCAACGGTTTTGAAACAGTTCTCTCTTCCCAATTCCACTTACAAACCTTGGGTCAACTTATGGCTTTTGTTTTCAGACATTTTCTAAAGGTGCTGCAGGCTTAAATTGCCACTCCACACCTGAAAAATCAACCATGATGAGATTCCAACCCAGGTCTTGTGGTTGGAAAGCAAATGTTCTGGCCACACACACACACATATATATATATATATATATATATATATATACACACACACACACACACACACACGTACATACACACAGAGTTAATGGAATACTGAAAAGTTCTCAACCCAACATACTTACAACATTCAACGTTAGTTCTTTGTACAGAAGTACTTCTAGGTTGAGAAGAAAAATTTTCAGCACTCTCTCATACATACATTTTACATATGTACATATCTAAAGAATTAATGGATTTATTTTTAATCCAACATTTTTTATACATATTTCTCACTGGGACTTCCATGAATCTATATTTGATAGCTTCAGTTTCTCACCCAAAGTCTAAACAATGGTCATTTTTAACGGATTTTTATCTTATATTTTTATTGTTAAAACAAATTGTACTGATCATGAGTCTCTCATGAGTGGCTTCAATTAAATTTTATAGAACAGAGCACTTAAAATGAATGTAAGTAATTAAATATCCTTTTAAAAGAACATCTGTCTTTACTTAAAATTACAATTATATTTAATCTTAGGATATATTTAATTACCAAAATCTATGCTATTCAGACTAAAATGATAATTGTACTTTTGATAGCATAAACTTTAAAGTTTTTAAGTACCATTTTCAATATCATTCAGGAATTTAGTAAGTATATTTTTAAAATTTGATTTTATGCACAACTGTGCATAATGCATATAAATGACAAATGAATGAGCTATTTTTCATTCACCAAAATATGTATCAGTTTTTTAATAAACAAATGCATACTACAGAAATATTTCAAAAACCTTGTTAATTACAGTTATAAATTCCAGCCTTTATTTCACACTAGTTTATATATTTCATGAAGTAAAATCAATTATATAAAATTATTTAATATATCTGTCAGTAAGAAAAAAAACTGATCATATTAGATTAAAAAAAGAAAAATACTTCTTAAAGTGAAAACCATGGCAACAACTTCTCTATGACCAGAGATGGGAGGGGTTATTATTTAATACTGAAGATGCCAACAAGCATAATTCAACCATAAAGTGACTGATTAGAAGAAACTAGAAAAGTTGTACATTTGTAAAGGAATAATGTAACTACCTTAAGGTATTCATTTTAATTGCATATTACAAAGGTTGAGAAAATTATCACAGAAATTGAAAAATATGTTGTTCCATATACATAAAAGGATTTATATTTCTATCTGATTAAACAGAAAAGAAGAAAACACATCATTCATTCAAGTTTGAGATTAATTTCTATTATTTCTATCACTCAACATGAGAAGCTGCACACTTGGAAGCACAAAATTTTTTGTTTAAGTGTTATGCTCCAATGGTAAATTATTTATTATACTGTATTTTAATTTTTATGAGGCTTTATAAATTAATAAGTACTTCTGTCATCAACTATGATCTCAATTTTTTGATAGCAATATTTTTTACATTCTATATTAAATGTAATTTTATCCACAGTCTAATTTATACCAATGAAAAATATAGAATGCAAAAATGATTGCACTTGGTATAAAGATTAAAACTGACAAGAAAATATTTAACAAAAAATATAAAGCCTAACATATGGTCAGGGAAAAGAACCTGCAATCAACAACAGGTCAGTAGCTATTTTCACAAGAGTTTTGGACAAATGTCTTTCTCTTCATTGAAACAATAAATAAAATGAAATAATTTACATTTCCATATTTTATAGCAAGCTGAAAATAAAAGCCAAGTAGGAAAAGCATACATGCTACAAAATTTACTATTCAGTATTCACACATTTAGAAGACAACAAGAAACATATACCTCAAATTCCACAATATAATCTCATTAAAAAAATAATTTATTTTAAAAATTAGCTTTAAATATGTAAAATAAATTAGCACCTAATGACATATATATGCAGGCCAAAGAACAAATCATCCACTATTATAAAAAAAGATATAAACCAAATCATGCTGAAAATTTATATTATAAATTATCTGGGTTTTAAATTATAATGATTATTTTTTTTATCACTTGATTGAAATTTTACCAGCAATTCATATATGTAGCAAGGATTTACATAACTAAAATAACTTGTACACTAAAAATAAAAATAAAATTATAAAATAATCATATTGATTGTTTAATCAACATAAAAAAAGACAAATGGAAATTTGAAATAATGAACAAGAACAACTATAGATGACAAAGCTGCTAAGAGATTGTATCAAACACAAGCATATAAAAAAAAACTTATACTCCTACCAAGTAGGGTTTATATACCTTAAGAATTACTTTTAAATGTTTTCATAGATTGCTAATAGCATAAAAATATATAAGTCATTGCACAATCAGAGAAATTCATGAACAAATTACAAATTGGTTATGAGGAAGTAAAACAGAATATTTGCTATTGATATAGCTATAAAAAAAAAGAAATGAAAGTAATTCCATGCAATAAGTGCAAGTAAGTAGCAATATGGCAAATCTGTGAAAAAAATAAGTTTTTTTGTGCAATATAAATTCTTTAAGATAGTAAATTGTAACCAACAAATATCAAGTCTAATATTAATTGTCAATATAAAAATATGATAATGAACAGGAGCCCTATAAAACAGATTCCACAGCAAAAGCTATAACGTTACAATGATAATAACAAACAAAAAATGATTTGAAAACCAAATCAATTTTTTATCAACTTAAACTTTGCATTAATTAAAATATAAAATTTATTTTTATTATATTAACAATGTCTAATTCCAAATTGTATGAAATATAATGCATCTTAAACATACTTACATAACTAATTGCACCATATATATAAGAATAAACAATAATAATTATTGTAATAAAAAAACAATAATAGTTGACTACAAACCTACCGATATTATCCAATGGTGTAAAAAGAATAATGATTTTTTTTATACCTCACTTATAGCAGATAAAAACAAATCTGTTAAAAGCATCTATCATAGAGAGAGGCAAAACATTGAAGTCAACACCCAGCAGTGACAAATATATATATATATATATATATATATATATATATATATGTGTGTATGTATGTATGTATGTATGTATGTATATATAATATATATATATAGGCAAAGAACTAAATTTTAAATCCAAGTTTTTTTTATTACTTCAAGCATTATAATGGAAACTAGTATTTGAAATAGATGCCCCATCATTATTTTTATTTTAAAGTGTGTTACATCTATAAACTGTTTCCCAACCTTCTAATAAAAATTCCATGTATATTTCAGATACAAGTATCCACTGATAATAAAGTTTGAAGTAATATATGCATGTATGTATGTATGCATGTATGTATATGATGAATGTGAGATTTCAAGCAATAAAATTGCTCTATCCTCAAATATGGGCAGTTGGGAAATGGCTATTTAGTCCTGTCAGGGTCATACATTCTCTTGTATGGATGGCATCATTTGCAGTAATTGTTACATAAATGTAGCATCACATGTAATAAATAACTTCTCTCTGTGTGTGGTGTCTCTGATGATATATATATATATAGGAAAGCACTATTTTTCTATATAAACACCACTTTTGGCTATGCATTTTCATGGTGTTGTTTATTTTGAGGTTCTTTAATTGATTGATTTGGTTTTTTTATGGCTTATCATCCATTTGCGAGTTTTTTGAAGCCAAAACATATTTTGGATTGTAAAAATAATCATTTTTTTGCAAGTAAATATTGCATTAACAATTTTTTTAGAATAACAATGGTTTTTCCATATACAAGTCCTAGCATTTAACCCAAAGCTGTGGGAAAGAGATAACTGATCATGAATTCGAATTTGGCCTACCAATTTCTCAATTTTAGCCATTATTATTTTGTAGGTTGTCGAGCTGCTGAGAAGAGGTCTACATCACTGTCACCATTGCTGAAAAATATTACATACACCCTTAACTGTGGTCATATCCACTGTTTGGTCTCCATAAATGTTTAGTAGATTCCAATAAATGTCAATTGATAAAACTTTGTTTTTGCAAGAATTCAATGACACACCTGTTTCCTATGACATTTCATGTCATGCAATTTTGCAAGATTACTATCTGTAACCAGGCAAATGATATTATGGGTTACTGGCAGGAAGGTATCATACCACAAACATCTGCCTCTGAAATTATGGTCCAATATAATAAAATAGGAGGTATTAGTTTTGGAGCAGCTCGTGCATGTGTGTGTATATATGTTTGTCCAGATTAAGGAAACCATGAAAGAGACCCATTTGTTGTGTTCATAATATCACTATTGCAACTATAATAGAAAAAGAATCCATTTTTGCCAAAGTGTACATAAATGTGCTTATTGTAGCATGATTTTTTTATTTTTGTTATGTGCATGCATTTCTTTTTTTTCTTTCTCTTCTCTTAATAAATAACAATAAGGGTTTTATTTTTAAAATTTCATCCTACCTCAACTTTGATGTCAGCCTGGGGTGATGCCCCAGATGAACTGCCTGTATTTGCTGGGCTGATATTGCGTGGAGGAGGATGTGTGGCTGGGTTCCATGTGGGAGCATTCACTATGGGAGGGGTAGAATGCAAACTGGGGTATGTGTTGACAGCACTTTGGTCGCCACGTACGGATGCACTGATACTGCCGGGAGCTGGACTGGACGAGCCCACTACTGGACCTTGGAATGCAGCTGACCAATGAAACAAAATAACAAAAGTTAAGCAGGAATATTTTCAGAGAACTTAGTAAGAAAATAGAGGAAATGAATTTGAATGAGTTTATCAAAAACTGATATATTATCTAACTGCTTTTAAATTTATTGACAAAGGTTATACTGAAAGTATGAAACTCAAATTTTAAATTAAATTATTCAGTTTGAGGATAAAGTTAAAGTAAAAATAAAAACATTTTAAATCAGAATATTTTTACATGTGTATATACTCATGAATATATTTTTACATAGCAATATCTCTGTGTATACTTATAACCTTACCAGATCTTTTTCCAACAAATGTTACATATAATCTAAGTAAAAGCTTAAAAATATAGTTCATTAGTTTTATTTTATAACTTATGAAATTGTCACTGAAACTATATATAGAATTTCAAATAGATACATCTCTTATGCATTAAGCAAAAATAATGTCCCTAAAAGTGACCAGGAAGACATTTTGCATGTGCTATCATGACTACAAGATTCTTCTTTTTTTGTTTTTTGTTGAATCACACATTAATGTTTTAGTTTATGCTTCTTTGACAGTAACAATATTAACATCAATATTTAAAGAATAATGACTATTTTAGAAGATAGTTTAAGCTATGCAAATAGGGAAGAAGAAAGGATAGATATTCTGAACATTAACTCTGTAGTATTTTAAAACTATTACACAAAAATATGAAACAAAACTTGTGAGATTTTCACGTTTATTTCATATACAACTGAAATATCACTATAGTTTACCAAATATTTTCTAATTCTAAACACAAGGATGGGAATCACAGATAAATAGTGATTATATATATATATATATATATATATATATATATATATATATATATATTAGTTGTATATGCATACAATTTATATTTATTCAAGATATATGATTGATATATGAATTAAAAAACTGAGATAAAAGAGAAATTTCAATAAATTTACACACATGCATATCTTTCATGTTTGAAAGAAAAATTAAGCATTAGGAAACTGTGTACCAAACACTAGCTAACTCAAAACTCAACAGAGAATACATATAAAAAAACTGAAGTTCATTACATTTGCAATTATGAGGGAATGTTGACCAAGATGCCCCAAATTTTGATGTTTGATTATTTAGTCAGATTTTGAAAAGTGGGTCAGACCAGGAAATCTTTTCAAGTCCTCCTACCCCTTACAAATATAAAAAATAAATTTCTTCCAAAAGAGACATGAAGAAATGATAAATATTTGCCTAAACTCAATGATGCAAATATTTTTCTAGTTGATTTTTTTCTTTTTACTTTAAGTTCTGTATTTATTGTGCCATTTTCAACTTACATTTTTTAAATACTATTTTTCACCAAATACAAGGCCCAAGAGTAAGACAAGGTATATAGGGTTACTGAATGAGGTTGCTGTAAAGGCATAAGAGGAAGTAAAAATGCATACTATGAGGATATGTAGGATATGACCCTAAACTTGAAGCAGTTAAGTTCATAGTAATCGGGAACGCATTCTATCAGAAATTTGTTATACAAAGTAACAATTCTTGGAAAGAAGCTGTCTGAGTAAAACTTCCCATTTAGCAATGGAATACTAAGAAAATAAGGTTGAGTCAACCCTGAGTATACAAGCATGGCAATCTTAGCTGTGAAGGTTGAAACTGGTGGAATGAAAAATTTAGTTTATCTGAACTTTTGTCATGAAAGTAGTGATTGAGTAGTGAGAGGTAGTAATATTTTGTCTGTGGGAAAGGGGTTGTAGGGTGGAAAATAATTCATCACCCACAAGGCTGCATAAATGCTTTTGAACCCTATCAAGGCTGTAAAGTGAGGATTGGGCAGTTTCAACCCAGATATTGCAGTAATACTCCATTTTTAGTTTGATCTGACTCTTCTAAAGATAGAATATGGCATGAGAAGTCAAGTACTTTCTGGAGGGGTACATAGAACTGACCATTTTTCCAGCATCTTTAGCAATGGATTATATATACGAGTTCCACTTGAGGTTTGGAGTGAGTTTGCATCCGAATAGATGTTCAAGTCAAGGAACCTTATTGAGAGTATAATCATTCATCATGACTGGAGAAAAATCAGGGTCTGTGCTGTAATAATAAAATGTTATTAGCCTGGTTTTGGAGGTATTGAAGCTAGATTTTCCCCCACTGAGCTGTTAATGATATGTTAGAGGAGAGATCAGCTGCTAGGCTCTAGTTATTTAGATCTATGGAGGTGCACCCATAAACTGTGGTATCATCTGTATATATATTTACTACTGAACTGAGTGTGTTCTTATATAGATTGTTAATATAAAGCAGAGAGTAGGATCAAAAAGAGACTTGAGAGATGCTTGCATTGATCTCATGGGCTTCAAAGGACTGGCTTCTATTAACAACAACTATCCCAGATCTGATAGGAAGTACTTGTTAATTGAAAAGACTCCTCCAGAGATGCTATAGCTGAAGAGTTTATGTAGCAACCCTTTATGCCACATCTTGTATGGCCTTTAAGATATCAAAGGCAATCACCCTCATGATGAATTTATATAAACAAATATAACAGATAAGCAAAATGTATAAAGCTATCTAACCAAGTAAAGGCAACTGAAGTGCACCTTGCAAAGCATCAAGGATAAAATTAGTTATCCAAACAGATGTGCTAAGTTGGTGTATTTCTTCATGATACAAAGAGAAACAGTGATTTTCAGCAGAGACAAAAATACATGTTTTCGCTTAATTTTTATAACACTAGTATATTTAAGTGCTATAGATGTAAAAATTACAAGAAAATGTATTTTATTGAACATAATTGGGAGAAAAATCCTTATATAAAAAATAAAACTGAATATTTAAGCAATAAATGTAAAATCATTATTCCAAGATAAGATACAAACTTTTTTAAAAATTATGTAATATCAAATCCTTAATATACTTGTATTATATTTAAACTAATCACATAAAACTCATTAAAAATATAAGACTAATTTAAAAATTTATCAAGATAAATGCTGATTATTCATTATAAGATAAAATACTTTGCTAAACAACAGGCAAGAAATTTGTCATTTCTAACACATTTCTTTCAAACTGTCCAACATAGCTAAATAATCATGAGGGCTTGCTTAAAAGAAATATTAAAAAACAAATTTATTTAAATAAAAGAAGACAAGAATAAATGGTATAAAGAGAAAAAAAATATTAAAAAAGAAGAAAATTAATCATGCAAAGTTCTTTACAGTTTTAGTTAATAGTAAAATATTGGCAAATGCCCAGCTTAGAGAGAGGAAAAAAGAGAAACAATAAAATATGAAAAACAAAAACATAAGAAATATCAAACAAGAAGACAGCCAAAAAAATAATATAATAAATAATTAAATATTTTGATCTTGTTTTTTGCATCAAAGGAAATTAAACCTTGAATAAAACTATGTAAGAACAGTAAGAAAACCTATATGAAATAGCAGAAGTTGAATGTACATCTTTAAACCTAGTTATTCATCAATAGTTTTTAATGACCTTTATTAAAGATTGGTTAGAAAAGAAAACTTGGAAGCTTAAAAATATTTCTGGTATAAAGTGGCAAGTGGCATGCTATTGCTACTGTAGAGGACAAGTATAAATAAAGGAAAGGGGAAAATGTAAATATAGGTAGGACACAAATCATAAAAGATCTGTTTGAAACTTTCTTTATGAAGCTGACATATATGTCTGATTTAATTATATATCTTAAGGATTTTGAAATTTTTCACATTCTAGAAAGAAAAAGAGAGGGATAACTGAATTCTAGTATTCAATAGGAAAGTAATTTAAACTGAATTTGTGGCAATAGCAATGCTGGTTAATACTGAAAAGTTTTAACTTATGATTTTTTCATTTAATTTTAACTGCTAGAATGCAGGAAAAATGAAAGCTGTTAATGCTGGCAAGGTGAATTGCAGGTAATTGTAATCATTTCATAAAATATGTGTAATATGCAGGATATATTTTGCTGGCTAAAATATATGTGCACATACATGTTTAAACATGTATACATGCAAAAAAACATTCAAAAAACTATATATGCATATAATAATGTTCACACATATCTATACATATTATCAGTATCTAGATAATTATGAATTATACATGCACATGGAGAGTACATATTTACAAATACATTATACATATGCCTAAATTTAGATAAAATTCCTGAATACTTAACTAGTCTCAATGTAATGAACTGAAAATAAAATAACAATAAAACCAGTCTTTTTAGGCTAACAGGACAAGATAACATCTTTTGATAAAATCATAAATATCAAAATATCACTTTTACAGATTTTTGTTTTGTTGAAACAATGTTAAATATTCCTGTTTTATACAGAAACAATATTATAGAGATGAAATAAATACACATACAAGCCTAAAGTAACATTTAATTTGAACTAAGTCAGAATTGAGAAACAGAAAGTAAAAACTTCAAAATGTGTTTTCCTTTGTAAAAATAAACTCAACTGAGTAGCATGAAAATTTTACAGACAACAGTTAAGTCCAAATTAACAACTACAAAATATGGGAAGATTGTTAAAATTAAAATAAAATGGATAATGTGCAATAAGTCTAAAGTTAAATTCATCTTAAGAAAACTTTAGTATAAAACAAATTGAATTTCTGCTATCATTTAATACATGTCAATGAATTTTCAAAATGAATAAATTTTGAGTCTTAACTCATATGTTGAATATTTTTCTCAATTTCAGTATGCAATTACTTCCCTTTATTTAAAGTAGCAAAACAAGTTTAGGAAATATAAAAGTAGGATAAAGAGGTTTATTGAGTGAATAACTACATTTGTATAGAAGGTTTGGATTAATACTGCACCAAAACATTGTTTTTACTTTTTTAATTCAATAGAAGAAAAGATTTGTTTGTTGATTTTCAAATCAGATACCAAATACAAGTGATTTTCATATATGCAGTCAAAATTTTATTATTAAAAGCTTAAGAACTAAAGAATTTTCTTCTTCAAAATACTAATTTCATGCACAAAATATAAAAATCTATTATAGGTCAGGCATGATATATATTTTCTAATATAACAATCAACATTATATTTAACAAAAATTAAATTTTGATTTTCTTAGGTCATTTAAAGTATAAAGTAAAATTTGACAATCTACAGATAAAATGGTCTAATAATTTATAAATAATTCTTTATAGTTTATAGATGATATTTTTGCCCATGTCTTGATTTCAGATTAAATCCTAGAAACATGGAAAATTGCAAGTGATAGGTATAAATGAACCAATAAGACATTTTGAACTGCTATTTAAAGAGAAAAAAAATTCTTGTTTTATTGATGGTTTGTCAAATTCACTTTCCACTTGATCCATATAAGCGGGTCGGTTTGCATAAATATATGAGAATATGAGAAAATAAACACAAGGAAATTCAAAGGTTAGGTTTCTCAAGAAAATGGCTAACTGATAAAACTTAGCAGTTCAAAATGTCAGGTAACAAAGACGATTTTTTTTTTATCATTTCAAAATATCTTAATCAAGGAAAGGGAAGCAACACTAGTTAAAAAAAGTCATGTAGAAGAGCTAAATACATCTTTTTCAATAAGGCAAAAAATATCTACATGCTAAAATTTAAAAAAAATGTTAATGTTAAATAATTTTCTATTCTTTTAATGATCATTATCATCATTTACACTATGCTTTATTAGGAAGTTATGCTTGAAAATGTTCATTTGATTATTTTAAGTTTTGAAATAAAATAGATGCATTAAAAAGGTATTAAAATAAACATGTGTTCCATCTATATTTTATTGAGTAAAACTTTCATCCAAATCAGATGAGGTTCAATGTTTAGGAAATATAATAATTGTTTATTTCATTTATGCTTGAAGTCTATCAGATCAAAGACAATTAGCTGATAATAGTTTAATAACTTGAAAAAACTATTTTTACAGTAACACTAATATTATTATATGATAATGATGATTTATGATGTTATACTGCCAGGAATTTTAGTTCAACAAATTTTACCTGGCTTTATTACATAGGTGTTGCCAAAATATATGTCTCTGGAATTTCTTCTCCAAAACTATTTCTTGAATAGTGACTCAAATCAAAACCAAATATCTATTCTGCATACAACATTGAACTTTTTTAATTCTTGAAAACAGAAGCTCATTAAAAAATTTCATAAGCAAATGAGTGCAAATATGAAGAGAGCATATGTATGAGAACTGAATTCGATGCCATCATTTTAGACAGAAAAGAACCAGTTTTTTTAAAAAACGCATTTTAATAGCATGACAGAAAAGAAGTTTAAAAAAACAGCTTCTATCACATTTAACATCAACAAAAACAATTATGTATTTTAAAGTATATTAAATTTAATCTTAGTATTTGTGTAAGGATTTCTTACATACATCAAAAAACTTAAAATGTTATTAAAGGAGTCAGAGTATGTGTGACATAAAAACAAATTTAACTTAAAATAAATAGGAAAAGTATTATTGGCATTGTTGACCAATACATTCTTAATGTAGTGCAAAAATTTGCAAATATTAATCAAGACATCTTAATCAAAAGTTGATAATTTGAAAAGGGGGAAAAATTATTTACAAAATCAATTTTTTTTTTTTAAATCTAGAAAAAGTTGTCACCTACAGGCCTCAAGCACACAAACTGTATATCATGTGTGCAGGCGGGGGAGGGGGAATAAATACTATTTAATAGTATTTATATATCTAAGATCCATAAGATTTAACTTTATATTGCAATGACCCTAACCCTTATCAAACACTTTAATTTGGGCTCATTTTTTATATACATAAGTGAGTGAATATAGTTATGCTTGCATATATAAATTTAAATTTTATTTTAAATAACAGGAACATCTGCATTTTATTAGCCCTTGTCCCATATAACATACCTTGGTTACATACAGAGATTTGTGTGAAAAAATAAGCTCATTCAAATTCACTGAAAGGGGGAAACAATCAAAATATGAAGCACTTACCTGGATTGGCTACCCACTCTTGGAGTGCTTTTTGTAGTCGCCTAACATGAAGTGGTTTGCTGGCCATGCCTACTAATGCCATAATTTCCAGAAACTCTTCTTCTCCAGCCTCACAGAGTTGCTGAACATCATCTCCACCTGATAAATGCAGCAAAATAGAAAAGTTTTTAATAATTTGGCAATTTTTAAAAAATGTTATTTTCCATGTGATACATAGGTGATCAGCAATAAGGATAGCCATAATAAAATATGGCAAAATAATATCTATAAGTATTTTCAAGTACTTGAGTTGCCAAGTTGAGAATTCAATAATGCTTCACTAAAAAATAAAAACTATTTGTTTAAGCCATAAAAATACAAAAAAAAAATAATGAGGGATAACAATGGCATTTTTTGTTAAAAAAGCAAAAGAAATTGTATATTTAAATGAATGAAAAACAAAAGATGAAAAGTTTTTAAAATAAAATTATGATTATTAAAGCAAGCAACAGAAAATTAGGAAAAGAGAAAAGTTTTTCCTTTCCTTTTATTCATTGTTTTGTAAAAGAAAATAATCCAGTTTTTCTACTTCTGACATAAGCAGAGAAAAAACTCTAAAATTTTTGTATTACAAAGGCTGTGGTTACAAGTGATATACAATCACATAAATTGAGCTTACTTAGAGGGTTGGATGTGCATTTTTCCCACCAATGCCACTGGTCAATATTCTAGGTCAGGTAAAAACCAGGATTTCTAATACTGATTTTTCCCTGCCTGCCTACTTGGAAGATTGGTGAATAATCTATGCCAACTTCTATCCATTTGAATTTATTTAGTAAATATAAACAAGTAATTATATCAGCTAAGGAGTGTGAGAAAAGAACTTCATGTAATGTAAAGTGTATCCACTTAACCAACAATTCTGTTTAGTTATCATAAGGTTTGTTTATTTTTATAGCAAAAAAAAACCCTCTCTCTCTCTCAAAAACAGATATGATTATATATATATATATATATATATATATATATATATATATATATATATATATATAAACAACAGCACTGAGAAAAAAGAAAACAAATCTAATAATGAAATGATCAGTGCAGAAATTTTCATTTGTGAAATACTTAAAAAATCTATATTTCCAACCTTCTTTAGAATGCTAAAATATATTTTTGAGGTGTTTTGCAAAGATGATTTAATGATATATTTTGTATATAATTTCTAACTAAGTCTGTTTAAGATACTTTTTACACAGATGAATGGAAAAAGCTAGAAGCAATTAGTAAGGTTTAAAAAGAAATTACAAGCAAATTTGAGAGGGAACAAAATTGATATGAATATTTTCAGATCAATGCCTCCTTGGAAGACCGACTTGATAACATCAATAGAAATAAAAAACAATTTGAAAAAAACAGGACTTTTGACTGATATAAAACAGAATGAGAAAATTAGTACAGAATATTGGAAAGAAAAATTATGGGAAATATTTTAGTTCTAGTTTTGCATACAAAAATAACAATTAATGAATCATTCAGGAAAAAAAGGAAAAAAGGAAGAGAAAGATTTCTTGTTCATTTTTTTATTAAATGGTAGATGGAGTGATCATGATAAAGAAGTAGAAAGAGTTTGATTTTACTTCTATTTCATATTTATTTTCATGAATATCTTTTTCTTTCAACACTTCTGACACACACACCTCTCCAACCCTAACATTTATTTTTTTAAAGACCTAATTTTCTCTCTACTTTTCTAAAAAACCCACCATCCACTCACATAGACAGCACCTTCATCTTTATAAGTGTGGATTTCTTCATTCTATTTCAAAAGAAACATAAAAGATGTCAATGATAAAAAAAAAAAGTTTAAAAGAAAAAACCCTTTCTTTCTTTCTCCACCCCCTGCTGCCATTTTTTTCTTCAGTTGCATCAATGGAAGCATTATTTGATACAACTGAGCACTGCAGAGAGTGGAAAGGCAAAAAGCAGTGAATTTTAATTCAAAATATTTGCCTTCGGGTGAGAACATTGTAAGTAGAAGTATCACCAAACCCTGAGATAATGAGCGGTTAAAAAGATTTCAAACCGTTCATACTTGAAGCACCAATATTTGAAAAGAACATGAAAGGTACAAAACGACAGTTGCAAAAATGGAATGATTGATAGAGCTTTCACATTTTTTTCTTAAAGAGTCTCTATTTTTTAAACAGAGAAGTGAAAATAAAGGAAAGCAAGAAAAATGCAAAAGAATAAAGTGTGTGTGTTTATGAATCAACATACACACATTACACACACACACAATATCTACACAGGATTTGTATCTTTATGTATATGAATATTTTATTGACTAATATTCAGCATCAAGAAATTGTTTCTTTAACTAAATGAAATTAAAAAAAGAATAGACATAAAAATTATTTTCTTTTAATAAAAGTTTGAAAGTATATTTAAGATTTGTATGAGAGACACAGTGGAAAGTGTGTGCATATCTAAATCAAGGAAAGGAATATAAAGGAGTGTAAACATATATATATATATATATATATATATATATATATATATATATATATATATATGAAAATCTCAAAGTAGGAAAACAAGCTGTAAAAAGAGAAACAGAACAAGATAAAGAGAAAAATAAGATTTAGACTCATGGAAAGACTATGGAAATAGATTCATCAGCAATGACAACAGGAGAAATAAATGTATGTGCGTGTGTGTGTGTGGGGGGCACACTTAATGTCTTAATAAATGATGTTTACTTTGATTTTTGGCATACTGTTTAGATGCCATTTAAGTCTAATCCAATTTGCTTGTCCTGTTCAGCTCTTCACCTGCTCATTCCATCTCTAGCTGAAGTAGATATGAGGCTATGAATGGAAAGCCTTTTGTGTGTGTGTGTGTGTGTGTGTGTGTGTGTGTATATGAAAATAAAAAATTATTTTCCAATGGATATGGAACAGGTAGTTAAAACAGGCCAGTAGCTATTGACTATCTTAAAATAAAGCAACATGCCAAATGTCAAAGTGGGAAGAATGTGAAAATTACTTTCAAAATAAAGTCAGATTTTCATCATAGTAGACAAAACTTATGAAGTTAAACAATTGTACAGTAAATGTAGATGAACAAGAAAAGTTAATTCAGCAGATCAATAAGAATAATAGCTTCTGTTTGAAATTTAAAAAAAAATATAGTGGAAAAAAGTTTGTCATGACTATATTCAAGAAGTTTTTGAGCCAACAATTTAACAATATATATATTAACTTTCTTGAAGTCACTTTCAAACAAGAGTTTATGTATCCATTCTTTGACCATTATTTCCATCAATTGCTTGGGATGTTTGAGAATTCTTTATAAATATCAGGCCAATCAGTAGCTGATATTGCTTCCATTTGAAATGAACTTTAAATGAAAACAGTTTTGCTTTGAAGAAATGTCAATAACTCCAAGACAGTGGTCAAATTAATAGCATTTGTAACTAAAGCATTTCCAATTCATCTACTACAAAAATATCAAATATGTCATTCTGTTCAAAGAAAATAAAAATAATTTATCTACAAAATAAGTCTATTTATATATCTATCTATATTTCTCTGTGGGCTGTGTCTCTTCAGGACATGTGTAATCATGGCTTTTTACAGTATATTGATTTTGTTGCTATCACCAACAATACTTTATCCTGTGTGACCTTACTTTTCATTTTTGTGGTCAATGTCTCTTCATTCATTTAAATATACTTCTTATCAAGTAAGTTTTCTTGCTGTTTTCCTTGGCTTATCTTGCTTTCAATATATCCTGTTAAATTCTCAAAACCTTCTTTCCTCATTGCATGTCCTCAAAATTACAGCTGTCTCTTTCTGATTGTCATTAGCAGTTCCTTTATAGTTCTGATTTTCCTAAGAACTTCATTTGTCACATGTTCTGTTCACAGTAATACCAAACCTCATCTCTTTTTCATGTGACAAAATTGCTCAGATTTCACTGCCATATAGGACAGTAGATATCATATGTTAGTTCAGCACAATTTTTTTATTCTTATGTTATTTATAATCCATTAATACATTGCTCATTTTCTGAAAAGTGTTTTTCACTCTTCCTTTAAGCTTTTGAATTTCAGTGTCATTTACATATCAAATGTCAAATTTAAAGTGTAATAATATTTCTATTATTACACTGTTTAAATTTGACATCTCTTGGGCTGTCCCTTTTGCCTCCATGAATTCCATCTTCATACAATTAATGGTCAGTCCTTCTTGTTTTCCTCAATTATCTTCCTATATTTCTTTCAGATTTCCTTCTGAATTTGCCATCAACAGTCATGTGCGAAGCATATATTGTTATATTGCCAATGATAAATCTTGGTAAGTCCTCTAATCATCTTTTAGTACATGTTAAGGACACATTTTTGTTGCACCCCTCTTTCTATTTTGGTGTGCTCAATTTGTCATCTGTTTGCATACAAGGCAGTTATTCTTAATAGAAATTGAGTATTTGTATATATTTTCTATGTATATCAAGATTTTTTAACATTGCTAGGTAATCATTTCATAGTTAATTTAAATGCTTTTGTATAATCTATCAAACACAGGTACAACTTTTTTTTTGCATTACTTTTGCTTGTTTTAACATCATTCTGACTATGAATATAGAATTTTTTGTTCTATTACCTTATACAAAACTATATTGTTATCTGTCCTGTTATTTACATGATCTTTTTGTGCATACCCATTGCATCTGTGTCCTGCAGCTTTTTTTTTTATCTTAGTCCATTTCTTATTTATCCATTCTTGCTCTCACTCATCATTCACTTCATTTTACCATGTATTTTCTTCTTTAAGAAGGAATTATTTTGCAGTTGTCACTAGTGCTTACTTTATGTTGCTGTGGAATTTTTCATATAATATTTTTGGCATTGATGTAGGCTTCTTTAATTTTTAAATTCTTATCCTTTCCTAATCAGTATTTACTGAAACTGAAAATTTCAGAACAATCATAAATACAAAAATGTTGCGATGAATAAATCAGCTACTTTTTCTGTAAGAGGAAAAGTTCTTCAGAGGAAAAATAATGATTAAGAATAAATATTTATGAAAACATAGAAATATTTAAATAAAAGAAATACTTAAAAAATAGATGAAATTTTCTCATTGTTTAAACAA